TTATTTATTTAATATATTATTATTTAATATTTATTTAATATATTATTACATGTTTTCAAAACTTAAACCACCAAACGCAGTTTTAGTTTTTTTTTTAAAACTGAAATCAATCTCTGAATAAAACTATCAAACGCATTTTCAAAAATGATTCCAAAATGAAAATAAAAACGTTTTTGTTTTCATTTTCATACAAAAAATAAAAATGTTTTAAAAACAATTCCAAACGCACCCTTTTCATCTTTGTATCAAACTTTTTAGACCATAGATTATTATATATAAACATTAGACAGGCCATATTTTCATGCCAAAATAACATTTTCTCATGCCAAGTTCTAATCTCATGCCAAACTAGGCAAAACGTTACATTTTCACAAGACTATCTTTAGTATAGCATAAAATCTTATTGCACATTTCAAATCTTTAAACATATCATTTAGCAAGTAAATATTCGGCCCTAATCATGCTCTTTTAACATCTAAATAAAAATCACAATCCTAGAGGCAACAACTTAGTCAAAAACACGAAATCTCTTCACATAACAAGGTTATTGAACTTTGTAAACTATAAAAGTTTGTGATTTCGTTTTTAGGCCCGTTTGGCTTTGCTTTTAGATGATGTTTTTAGTTTTTTAAAATAAACTACAATAGGTTAGGGTGTATAGTAATTCTTGTTTTTGTCCAACAATTTCTAAAAATTATTGTCAAACAACAGATTTTAAGATGTAGGTTATGAGTTGCTTTTACACAACAGTTTCTGCTGCCATTATCTGAATTTATGAAGATAACATTAATAATAAAACTTAATTCTCAATCTACCTATTTTACTTTTTCCATGCCAAATTAAAAAACATACATTTTTAAATAGTTATTTAAAAATTGAAAATCTTTAACAAGTATACTATGTTAAATTTTATTCAAATATTTTAAGTAATTATCAAAATGTTCAAAATAACAACAATAAATAAGAAATTTACTAGATGTATAATTTTCCTAATTAATAAAAGTAATTTATTTTTAAGAAATATTTTAATTAATAAAATTAAAATTATATTTTTTATATTTTAAATATTTGCCATAAAAATAAAAATAAAACTAACTATAAATATGTGCCAAAATATGTTTATTTTCGTTATTATACATATTCACAGCAATTTTATATAGATTACACATAAATTTTTACTTGTTGTATCCACAATAGTTTTGTAAAAATATTTATCAAACACCTATATGCTTATAGTCACAACAACTTATTACTAACAACACAACAAAAATAAAATTTTTTAACAATACAGTAATGCCAAAATGGCACTTTAGCTCGTTGGATAGACTCTTTCTCTTAGGGTCTGTTTAGTTCGCTGATTCGAGTTTTTAATTTGAGTTAAGATGTAATTTTATGTGAAAATTTTTAACTATAGTAAAATAATTAAATGTAACTGTTTCTGAGAAGGATGATATATGATCTGTGTTGAGAGGGAGAGTGAAGAGATTTTCTTTTGAGTTTAAAGAGTTTAGGAGATATAAAAATGACCATTGAGTGGTTCGACCATTTAGGTACTTTTAGACAAGCGTGCGGGGCCTACTTGCAAGAAAAAACTTTTTTGCTAAGGGGTCCTTGAAAATTTCGGCTATCAGGGGGAGAGGAAGAGACAAAAAATTTTGCTTTACATTTTTTTATCCATTGGTCTAAGAATCTAATGAGGATGACTTGCTTTACACTATTTTACCCATTGTACACTTCACTAACCCTCTACTTTAATTATTTACTTAAGACTCTATCATTCTCATATGCATAAGTTGATAATCCTCTTTATTACTCATTGGTAAATTCGGCCACTTATTTTATCTCGTCCTTTTTTCCTTCAAATTGAATCTTGGCCCTTAATTTCAAATCCTATAAGATCTCCACCATTGAATTAAAGGATACCTACTTGTCTACCTATCCTACCTAGTTGATCTGATGGGATCAAATCATCATTAATTTATTGTTAGTATCCTTTTCAGTATACTTTGCATACTGATAGTGCCCGTGAACTCCTTCTTACTGCATGGCATGAGCTTGGCATGACTTAAATTATTAGTACTAAGACTTCGTATCAAGGGTTAATTATACATTGGATATTTGAAGAGAGTTATGTCACTTTGCCTCTTACAACTCCAAGTGATGCAAAACTCTTACCTTTCCCCCAAGCTTATCATAAGCGAGGTTTGACAAAATTAACATTTTCACCAATAGTTCTGCAGAAAATTTCCTATTTTAAAAGTACCAAATTAGAAATAAATATGTAGTAGTTCAAATTGTAGAATATCCAGAAATTTCCGTAGAAATATTTGTAAATGTTAATATTTTTATGGAAATATTGATTTCCTTGAAAAGTGTATTGTTAAATGACAAAATATTGTAGAATTTTATGGAATGAAATATGGATACTTCATATTTATTTGTTAATTTACTTTGGAAATGTAGTAAAAATCATGTCTTTTCTAATTTACATTTGAACGCAATCTTTCTTGTTATACATGGAAAGGTAGTGGGCATAAATTGAGAGACATATGCATGACATGTTTAAAATTACATAAGAAATTATTTATACTCCATATTTTGATATCAATATTGTTTAGACAAGAAGGTATTAAAATAATACCTTCGAACCTTCTAATAGATCTTATTGATATATTTTCATCCTAATATGAAACTGCAATGATCATTTATTATACTATGATCACTTCTTACTATGTTATGGTGATTCTAGTTTTGATTTTAAAACTAAAACTATGATTTATGATTTTAAGTCTAAATCATGATCTTGAAATCAAGAATAGCATTAGGGGGACCCAAAACCAAGAGGGGATGTGGTTTTAGAATCATGGGTGATTTCTTATTTAAAACATCACATCAGAGTTCAAACCTTAAATCAAAACCATCCAAATTAAATACTGATTCTGGGTGAGTCAAATCAGAATCACTTTTTACTTTTTGTAAACAAACATTGGTTTGAACTAGAATCATAGTTCCAGATTCAGAATCCTTATACCAAAAAATGCATTAATTTTTTAATTGAGAATTTCATCTAATTTATATACTATTAACTATTATAGAGTTTATTAAAGTCTCATTTTTAAAATAAAGTGTTTTAAGATGATTTTTTGTATTTTATGTCAATTTTTGAATTTTAGTAGTTTATTCAATATCCGAAAATCAAGCTACTGATATATTCATGGATATCAATAATTTCATCCTTAATCATAAGTCATTAAGTTGCAATTATATTACTTCTATCAATGAGAAATAACTTTTTAAGCATTTTGTTTAGGTGACTACTTGATAAATAACAATAAAGGAGGAGGTGGTCATGCAAAGTTAGGAATGAAAGAAAAGACGACACTTATGATTATTTTGTTTAGTAGTTTCATCTAAGGAAAAAAAAGTTCACGATTTTTCTTCATTTTTAAAATTGTTAAAGTTTTTTTTAGATTTATTGTATTACTCTTTACTATACAATCGTTGACTTACACGTTATTAAAACCGTTAAAATTGATAAATCAATGACCGAAGTAACGCAATTGCAACTTATTTATAAGCGTTGAGAGGAGTTCATGTCATTTTGAGTTATGGTTGCAAAGTGAGATAATCTCTATTCTTCAAGAGCCAAATTTAAAATTATCCTTTATTATTTTAATGAAACAATACACGGATTGTAGTAATACAATTTCCAACAACTACCTCCCGTGCCCCTTGCTTTCACCCTTAAGAACTCGCGACTATTTGAAAATAACATACAAAATGAATATCAAATTGGTCAAAATTGAACTCATTTTTCGCTCTTTTCATAGGTTTGAATTACAATTCATCCTCTTTACTGTAGTATTTTTTCTCATAAAAATTTAAATTTCGGTTCAAAATATTCTTTTCAAACCTAGGAAAAGAACACCCCATTAATATAAATAACATTCCTTACACCTATCATAGTTTGGAACTCTGATATTTTCCCAAGCATGTGCATGTGTTGGATCCTATAGCATACTAATTGAGTTCGTCGGATGGCTTCAGAAACCAATGGTTGAGTCGTTCTGATGCCTTATTGACCTACATATTTATAAAAATAATTAAGCAAAACACATACATATGGTTAACTTTTTTATAAAACTACAAAAGTATTTCATGAACATTCGTGTCACTTTTTACCACAAATAATTATAGTACAATCATAATAGATTACTGATAAGTACGTAATTATTATATAGTGACGCAAAAGAAAATAATTAAAACTGATGTTGTCCTTCACATACTTTGTGCTATAAAACAGTTATCCCAATGTATATAAAAGTTCTTTTGATGAGAGATCTAACTAGACATTTGAATTGACATACCTGGGCTTCCCAATCTGTTTTAAATGTGATATACAGAAGTACAAGTGATTGTGATAACACTCCACACAACATTCCGATCCACAATCCCTACAAAGTAACATGGAATTCAGAACCATGTGTGGTTAAAAAGTCAACAAAATGCCTTTTCCATCTGCACTTATTGTTATATAAGCGGACAAGAATTTTTCTCACCTTTACTTGGAAATGAGCCACATAAGCAAGCACAATTCCTAAGGGTATCCCAATCAAATAATAGCAGCAAATGTTTACAACAGCAACAGTGCCCTGTAAACCAGCACCTACAGCAACACCTGCAAAAAGAGATTTCCAACAATCTCCATATTTAGAGTAATAATCAACAAGATCTTGTAGAAAAAAGAAAAAAAGAAAAAAAGAAAATCATTATCTGCTAGTATTCTGAGGATATAATATAAATTATCTAAAATATGTAACCATGGACATGATCCAATGACGGATCCCGAACATTTTTCATAGTGGGCATGAATTAAGCCAAGACATTGAACAAAAATAACAATTTATGATAACATCATTTTCAAAAGCTTCACTCCTTATTGAAAAGTTTTAGCCTTCACAATAAGTGCTGAAGCATTTCAGTCGGAAAAGCTAATTTCTTCAAACAATTTGGTTGAATTTAGAAGAATTATATGAAACATATCATCCATAGGAAACCGGTTGGTTTTATGTATGCATATGTAGCATTACTTGCCTGAAAGGACCGGATAGATGCCATTGAGTAAGATGGAGAAAGCAAGCAGGACAGACAGATCTGAAACAACGTCTGCGACTTCCTCCTCGTCAGTGAATAGGTAGGAAATTTGACGACCAAATATCAAACACAAAATCCAAAATACCACTCCAATCACAATTGATGTGCTAAGGATAACTTTTATGGCAAATTTCGCAGCTTTAGCATTTCCTCTCCCCAACTCATTTGATACCCGTACACTATCAGCAAAATAAATAAACAGCAAAAATGTAGTTTCTTGTCGTACTAAGAGCATTACTACAATATCACATTTAATTTAGCAATAAAAGGGTACGCTTATACATACCATGCAGCAGCTAAAAACCCAAGGCATATCGCAAACTCCCAAGCACAAATATTGAGACTGAGAAAGATAGATGTGGGTTAAATTACTTTGATAACACGAGAAGACTTGAATGCTATGAGCACCAGAATAGACAAGGATGTTACCAGATAGAGAAAGCAGAGATGGCAACTGTTGCATTTTTCATGTATCCAGCTAAAAGAACCAGAATAGAATTGTACCATAACTCTAAACTGTTAACAATAGTATTTAAAAAAAAAAAATGTTAGAACGTTTGTTATATTTCTGTCTTAAAGATCATGAGACATTCGTACTGTACTTGTACAAAAGGCAATAGAAGTACTAACGACATGTGTACTGAATATCAATCAATTGCGTTGGATGCTAATATTGTAACATCAATCACTTTGATAAATGATTGCAAGCATTTTCTGCCTTTCCATGTACTAATAAATTACGCAAAAAGAAACTTTTTTATTTATTTATTTAATTTGTTCATTTGTCTAGAGACTAATACCACAAGCACTAAACATGTTGTTCACGTTTTATGTACTAATGATAACTGTTAAAACATTTTAAGCGAAGATACCAACTAATGCACGGCATTTTGTGGTAGTAACTAATAAGATGATGATGATGACGACGACATTAATAATGATAATAATAATAATAATAATTATCATAATAAAATGCCGATTAATTCAGTTTATGGTCAAAATTTGATTCTTGTAGTATTTGAGACTTTATATTTCTTGTAGGTTTGGAAAGGAAAATAAAGGTACAAAAATAGTGATCATTGATTAAATATGTAGCGTTTACTTATGTATTAAGAAGTGAAATTGAAAATAATACAATTCCTTTGTGAATGTTTAATAGACTTAGAAATAGGAATCTTATCAATATAATTACTAAAATATCTTCCTTTGTGAATGTTTAATAGACTTAGAAATAGGAATCTTATCAATGTAATTACTAAAATACTTGTTTTTCTTGTAGGTTTGGAAAGGAAAATAAAGGTACAAAAATAGTGATCATTGATTAAATTTGTAGTGTTTACTTATGTATTAAGAAGTGAAATTGAAAATAATACAATTCCTTTGCGAGTGTTTAATAGACTTAGAAATAGGAATCTTATCAATGTAATTACTAAAATATCTTTCTACAAATTAGAACTGGTAAAGAAATTGGTGTTGTTGGTGAAGAGTCGAATGAGTGGAGGAAGAAGTTGAAATTGGTGATGTTGGTGAGTGAGAAGACGGGTTCATTTCGTTTGAAGGTAGCTCTGACACCAAATTAGAAACTGTTTGCAGAAAAGAAAAATGAAGAAAAGTACAGGGAAGGAAACACAGTATTTGGGAAAGGCTCAGATGAATGCTGAGCAATTAGTAAAGCGTTACTATATACAATTACAAAACCTTTTCTGTACAGTAAAGAGAGTGCAATGCTAACAGTAACTATACATGTGTTTAGCTAATTGCTTTAACATCTCCCCTCAAGCTTACTAGTCTAGTCAAAACAGTGAGCTTGCACCTGATTTAAGAACCATTGAGTTGGAAGTGCTCTAGCCATGGCATTAGAAAGCTAGTTCTTGCGGGATGAAGGGAGTGCAATTAGTATTGTTCACGACACACTCTCTAATGAAGTGACAATCAATTTTAACATGTTCGGTTCGAGCATGCATAATGGGATTGGCTGCTAAGTAGCACTGACATTGTCACATTTGAGTAAGGGAGAGGAAGATGAACTTTCAATCCAAGTGCCTCGGCAGCAACATTAGCAAGCCCTATGTATTCAGACTAAACACTAGAGTGAGAAATAATCTTTTGTTTGGAAGAAAGCCAAGAAATTAGATCAAGACAAAGGAAGCTGCAATATCCACTAGTACTTTTTTAGATAAGAAAAACTTTATTGATAAAGATCAATAACAAGGGCAGAGGATAAGGTATCCTCAAACCCAAGAGAGATCGGTCGTGTGTGACAAAACTGACCAAGAAACAGAAAAATTATTAAAAAAAAAAACAAAGTCTTTGTTTCCAATATCCACTAGTACTTTACTGATCATCAAGGCAACTAGCCCAAGCAGCTTCTGTATTGCAAACAAAGAACAAATCGTTGGAAGCTTGAAAAGTAAGACCAAAGCAAGCTGTAGCTTTAAGTTATTTTAACTTGCGCTTCACAGGTTGTCAGTGAGAGGAGGCTGGAGCATGCATAAACTCCCACATTTTTTATGATAGAATAGGCAATTTTAGAAGTGTTAGAGTGCAATACTGAAGTGCTTCAACAGGACTTAGGCCTCGTTCTCTTTGCGGATTCGAGTTTTCAATTCGAGCTGAGATGTTCCATTTTCTGAGAGCTTTTAACTGTAGTACAAATAGTTAGATGTGACATTTTCTGAGAGCTTTTAACTGTAGAAACCTATAACTGAAAACTCGAATAAGTGAAATGAACGAGGCCTTAGATAATTGATGGTATGCGAGAGCAATTGTCCATCATAAAGAGAGGGAGAGTCGGTCCATAGGACATAAGGGTAGTATTAGTTTACCAATCCATCCCAAAAGCTTAAGTTATTAGGAGGTGAGCCAATAATAGTTTTATACTTTAACACTCCCCCTCGCGTATGGGCTGGACAATGGGCAATCATGTGGGTAAATTAATTGGAAAGCCCAACACGTAAATATTTAAGCCCGAAATATATTAAAGACCCGACACATGATGACAATTTTAAATGGGGATAAAGAGTGCAATTACTGGGGTTTGAACTCAGGACCTTCCGCTCTAATACCGTATTAGTTTACCAATCCATCCCAAAAGCTTAAGCTGTTAGGAGGTGGGCCAACAATAGTTTTATACTTTAACAGGTTGTGTATGGCTTGATGTCCCATATGTCAGCTCTCTTGAGAAGATTTGTGACGTACTTTGATAGGATCCCGCCTAGACCTCCTATCCAGTTTACCTATTCTAGAAGGGGTAAAAAGGACATAGCAGGTGTGGAGATCAAGGCAAGGGAGGGCAGTGCTGAGGTGGCGAATTCTGTTAGGAAAATCTGTTAGAGAAGCTGGCTAGGGGGTGAATATGAGAGGAGAGAAGAGTGGG